TCATACATGTAGGTAAATAATATTGCTGTGGAACTTTTTTTTTCATGAGAGTGTAATTAATAGAGTATTACTTTCTGTTGGGTGGAATTGTGAAATAGAAGTCAATACGTTCAACTTCTTGCTCAATACTTTGTTGCTTTGAAGGCGTCATCCTCAGCCTAAGCAATGTGTTACTGTAATCTGAATTTCAAAATGTCTTAGTGACGTTTTTTTTCGACGTACTGGCCAACTCCACCGTAGCGAATCACATGACTTTGACATAATCAATAATATATTACAGTAAATTCGAGCGAAAAATATCTTTATAAGTAAAGAATTGTCGCATAAAAGTTAAATACACGGGAAATTGCAAAGTTCACAAAGTCTAGTCTGATTAATCATTTTACAAAAAAAAAAAAAAAAAGTGCAAGCAAAAGGGGGGGCGTACGCCCTCTACGCCCCCCTCTGGATCCGCCACTGTGAATGCAAATACACAGTTAATAAAAATTACAATTAAGGGATAAATAATTAAAGTCAAAAGTAAATAAGTTTGTTTTCTCTTTCTTGGTTGGAAAAATATAGTTTACAGTAGTTTCTGTGTTTTTGATCGTACTATGTAAAAATTAGGAGATGTGGTATGGTTGCCAATGAGACAACTATCCACCAAGTTCAAATGAAGGGGATGTAAGCACTCATAGGCAACCGTACGGCCATCAACAATGAGAAAAAACCCATACCGTATAGTCGGCTATAAAAGGCCCCGACATGAAAAATGTAAAAACCATTCATACGAGAAAACCAACGGCCTTATTTATAACAAAATAATTTACGAAAAACAAATATGAGAGACATGAACCAACGACAACCACTGAACTACAGGCTCCTGACTTGGAACATGGACATAAAAAATGTAGCGGGGTTAAACACGTTTTGAGCGCTCACCCAACCCCTAACCGTGTGACAGTGGTGTAACCACACAACATAAGAACAAACTGTAAAGATCAATAGCAATTTGCTAAACTAAAATTGGTACGAGGCACAAAAACAACTAACACAAAAACAATAGAAATAAAGCACCGAAATAAGAGTACTCGATACAATTGAGAATTGAAATGGGGAATGTGTCAAAGAGACAACAACCCGACCAAAGAGCAGAAAACAGCCGAAGACCACCAATGGATCTTCAACACAGCGAGAAAATCCCGCACCCGGAGGCGGGCTTCAGCTGGCCCCTAAACAAAAATGTGTACTAGTTCAATGAAAATGGACGTCACACTAAACTCCAAAACATATAAATGAACTAAAATTAAAAAAAACATACAAGACTTACAAAGGCCAGAGGCTCCTGACTTGGGACAGGCGCAAAAATGCGGTGTGGTTAAACATGTTTTGTGAGATCTCAACCCACCCCCCCCCCTTTATACCTCTAGCCAATGTAGAATAAACAAACACACAACAATAAGCACTGTAAAACTCAGTTTAAAAGAAGTCCGAGTCCGATGTCAGAATAGGTAACAAAAGAAACTAAGCAAAATGACAATGATACATAAATTAACAAAGGACTACTAGTATAGTTACTGACATGCCAGCTCCAGACCTCAATTAAACTCTTTGAAAGATTATGTCTTCATCATATGAAAATCAAGCACAATACCTCCCCTTAGGGGTTTAGTATCATATCATCATAAAATATATGAGTAGAACATAACCCGTATCATGCCAACAACTGGTATTAGAATAAATGTGTTTATTTCCGATGCAAAGACCCTATGAGTAAATCAATATTAATACCAAAATAGGCCATCTTTAATGACCTGACAACAGTATCGTAACTATATCTCTTCTGAATAAGTCTGTTTAAAGGTTTGGTTAGCTTTTGAGGTGAAGGTCGACATTTTTGTGTTTGGTATAGAATATAACCATAAAAGATTGGATGTGAAATACCTGAACGTATAAGATGTCTTCATGTTGATTTATATTTACGAATTATGTCCTTGTACCAATGATAAAAATTTAGTAAATTTTTTGACTAGTTTGTGATGTCGAAAACCCTGGTGTAATAATTTGTCAGTAATACAGAGGTTTCTTTCGTTAAAATCAAATACGTTGTTACATACACGAGTGAATCGAACAAGTTGAGATATATAAACACCATAAGATGGTGACAAGGGAACGTCACCATCTAAAAATGGACAATTAGCAATAGGAAATGAAAAACTCATCTCTTTTACCATAATTTTTGAAGTTACCGAAAGCTAGTTCAAATCCAATATCAACTATTAAATAAATCTTGATATCTCGGACCAAACTGGTATCAATCAGTACACATCCAACGGATTTAGTAAAAAGAGGTCATAAACAGTGCGAGAAACGTATGACCTTGTGCAATGCCAAAATCACAAGTAAACAGTATCGACAGGATGCAGGATAATGAGTTTTCAGAACTGTATATATGTAGGACTCTGAACCGCGATGGTACTCCGAACCGCGATGGTCACGCTGAAGTGCGATGGTTTGACGCTGAAGTACGTTTTTGATCACGATGAAGTGCGATGGTGGCATTGTGACGCTATCTTCTTGATAGCTACGCCGAAGTGCGATGGTGGTTACGCTGAAGTGCGATGGATTACCTAACCTTTATTGTTAATGTGTCCCATGTGGATGAAAAGGTAAATTTGTTTGCTAGAAGCAGCGTTTCATGTTTATCAAATAAATTATCGAGAACAGTAACCTGTTTAATTAAAAACAGTCATAACTAGATTTGTAATTGCGAGCAATAACGGATGGCACCCTTCTCCCCATTGCCACGGTAACGGCAGTCATTTTGAAAATTAGAAAGTCAAAGAGCGCATCTACACATGCCAATTAACATTGTTGTAAAGTTTCATGAAGTGTGGAGCATTTTGAAAGTTTAGACATTTTTGCTGTTTCCATGGTAACGGCAGCCATCTTGATTATGCCATACCCCGATTGCAAATCTGCACATGCTGGTTAACATTATGGTATAGTTCCATGACAATTGGTTCATACAATTCCGAGATATAAGCTGGACAAAAAAAGTGGAAGAAAAATAATAAGAAAAAAAGAAACGTAGAATAAAAATATGTCACCCCAACACCGTTAAGGGTGCCATAATAAATATTTCCAGTCATAATTGTAAAGTTGTAGTTCGCTTTTGACAAAAATAAGCCAACGTTCATACAGTCATTCAAGACGCTACATACAAGATTATTTTCTATTAAAACAAGTGTTAATTTCAATGACTGATATTGTGAAAGCTGTTTAAGATGCAATTTGATAAGGGCCTTATTAGTTTATTACCGTCGGTGTTTTTTTCTGCAACTGAAGAAAATATGGAATGTTTTTGCATATTCAACATGAATACAACTTGTATTTTTTTAATACTACCGAAAAAGGGATATAATTAGTAGACAGGGAAAATGTAAATGAGATTCTTTTTCGAATACTATAGAAGTTTTGTTTTTTTTATGTACGATGGAGCTTGGAATTCTCCAACTACATATGGGTCCGCAGAGATCCTCCCCGTATTATGATATTACGGTTAACGTGAAAATCATGAGAGCTGAGAGTTGATGTTACTTTAACACATTCAGTAATCTCAGATGAGAGGAACAAAGTAAAGATAAGCTGTTAACGCAGAATAATGTCCTAATGCAGCAAATTTAAAGAGAACAATCTATCATTTAGTATGGAACTGTAAAAGAGAGGCGAAAGATACCAGAGGAACATTTAAACTCATTAGTCGAAAATAAACTGACAACGCCATGGCTAAAAAAGAAAAAAACCAACAGACAAACAATGATGCACAAAACATAACATAGAAAACTAAAGACTGAGCAACGCGAACCCCACCAAAAACTGGGGGTGACCACAGGTGTTCCAGAAGGGTAAGCAGATCCTACTCCACATGTGGCACCCGTCGTGTTGCTCATGTTAGTACAAACCCGGTAATAAGTCTAATTCGGTAGGTCACATTCGGGAAAAGGGGACGGAATTGTAGTTACGACATTAGGAACATATTCGTTATCATCTGTGAAACGGATATCCCAAGTAATGGCTGATATAGACCACTCGGTGGAGACCATCGCACTTCACCGTGACCATCGGACTTCAGCGTCCCCATCGCACCTCCGAGTCCTACATATATATATAGCCTTAAGAATAAGTTTATTCAAATGATCAATTAGTTCACATGGGTCGTATCTAAGTGTACGGGCTTTATGAACAACATCACCGTAAAAATTAGGATGTGACATCCCGTTTTTTATAAGAATTCTACAGGTACCGCATTTTTAATTTATTTTACTTCTCTCAGTATTATCTAATAAAGCAGTAGGTGTTTAAATGTTTTTTTTCGAAACGCCTTCTTGACACTTCTTGTTTTTAATCAATTATCTACATCTACATCTATATCTACACTGGGACTATTATACTAATATTCAATATATTATGTCCCAGATCTACAATACAATACAATACAATACAATACAATACAATACAATACAATACAATACAATACAATACAATACAATACAATACAATACAATACAATACAATACAATACAATACAATACAATACAATACAATACAATACAATACAATACAATACAATACAATACAATACAATACAATACAATACAATACAATACAATACAAGTATTTTTTTTTTAAGTTTACTACACTTCCATGATTTCTTTTCATAAGAAAACGTTTTTTACTTCCTTCATCAATCCGTGGCAATACTGGAACCCTAGTTTCTTTTAAAAAATAATCACGGTTTAATTTATCAACAAAAAGATTTAAGAAATGTATGTTATAATTAATTTCAGTGGTGAAGCCCTTACTATAGGGCTAATAATAAAGATGATTTAAACAAAATCTATCCTAACAATAAAGTTGATGTAAAGGTTGCACAATTTTCCGGAAAAGTATTGCAACTTATCCCGGTTTCATCTAATATTATTATTGTTAATGGTTCCCAGTCCAAAATGTTCAGTTAACATATCGCTCAACGAAAGCGTCGCTTAATCAAGTAACTAGTCGACAGAATTTCGAAAGGCATGAGAGAATAATATTTGGTGGGAAATTCTGTAGTATGATCCGAAGATATTAGAAATAGATAAGAAGGCATATATATGCAGTTCATATATTTTATTACAAGTTAAAGAATTGGAAAGTTTACTTGTGTATGTAGTTTGTACTAACCAAACATTTCAGCTTTGTTTCGTTTTTAGATACATAAACAACTTTCTTTTTAATTTTATGCCCCACCTAGGGGCATTATGTTTTTCGGTCTGTGCGTCCGTTCGTCCGCCTGTCCCGCTTCAGGTTAAAGTTTTTGGTCGCTTCAGATTAAAGTTTTTGGTCAAGGTAGTTTTTGATGAAGTTGAAGTCCAATCAACTTGAAACTTGGTACACATGTTCCCTATGAGGCTATGCTCAGTCAAGGATATAACTCTTTAGGGTTATTAGAGAAAAATAACATACATTTGTTATTGTGGACTAAAAAATAAAAGAACTGTGATAACATATGTATGTTACATGTTCGAAAGGGCCAATATACATAATTTGTTTTGTTAAAATGTATACAAGTTCTATTGATATTATTATTGTCTTTATGTATACTAAACTATAGAAAGATATAACAGTTCATAGTTTGCCAATCATACATAGTACACCTCTGTTATTTCAGAAAAATATGCCTGTAATAACTAAAGGGTGTTATTACAGCTTCTCTACATCACTTCAAAGCCTTTGCTCAGACATACATCATGCTTAATCACAATGTATTTTAATTTATTGTAAGAATTAATGATCAGAGCATGTAATGAGGTTCTGCGCAAGCTTCCCAGTAATTCCCAAGTGTCTCATATAATAAGTTACATGCCTTTAATAACTAAGCCTTGTTATTACAGCTAAGTTTATCCCTTAAAAGCCTTGTCTCATTGATTTACCATGGTTGTTGAAAAATGTATTAATTTAATTCGAAAATTAGTTATCAAGGCTATGTATTTAGTTTCTGCGCAAAGTTTCAGGAATTCCCAAGTGCCCACTAAAAATCAAAATATTTATGATTTATTTAACAAATAACAAACATATATACATGAAGATGTATGTTACTACAGATTTAGAAAATTTAAGGATTAAAGAGTAGACAACTCATGAAAGTATCTGTAATAACACATGCAAGATATTTTCTCTAATAAACCTATAGAGTTATACCCCTGACTGATGATATGATCTTTCTAATTTTAATGCCAAGTTAGAGTTTTGACCCCAAGTTCACCGTCCACTAAACATAGAAAATGATAGTGCGAGTGGGGCATCCATGTACTATGGACACATTCTTGTTTATACTGTATAATTATCCAGAGAATTTATACAATTGAATCTTAAGGCTCTGTATATAGTATTATGTGGATTTCTACCATGTAAAAGTTCTGTTCATGTACTAATCTCCGGGTAGAAACTTGGATGGTTAATCTGTTGCTTTCTACATCTAAAATAATCCTTACTCTTCCGGAGCACCTGAGATCACCCCCAGTTTTTGGTTGGGTTTGTGTTGTTCAGTCTTTAGTTTTCTGTGTTGTGCTTTGTGTACTGTTGTTTGTCTTTTCATCATTTTTAGTTTTATGCCATGGCCTTGTCAGTTTGTTTAAGACTTATGAGTTTGAATGTCCTTTTGGTATCTTAGCCTCTCTCTTAAAGACTTTTTAAAAACAGTTTTAGTTTAGATCTGATTTGGCTGCCCAATTAATATCTACATGTATACCGGTATACAATTTAACTGTAATTTCGGTAAGATTTAAACAAGTTACCACACAACTTAAACCAGTGCATTTTTCCTGAACAGCATCATTTATTCACCTGAAGCAGGAAGGCTATGTAAGGGAACAGCTGTTTTAACTTTGAGGGGATTATTATTTATTTTCAATCTAATTTTTTTTCTAGTACCATTCAAGTATCAAATAATTCATTAATTTGTCGCACAGATCACAAAATTTTCTTTTAGAACTTACATATGTAACAACAATCAGAATTTTTTGTTTTATTCTCCTTTATTAAAATATTTTATTCTTCAAAGTTGGGAATCAGAATATTATTTTATAGGAAAAACATATATATTTCTATCTTCAAAATTGCAAATTTGAGAAAAGCAGTTTGTATTCACAACTTCTGAACAACTGAATGGATTTCACTGTAACATTCAATTAGTCATATAACATCATTGTGAGACTGAAAGTTATATTTATCTGATTTTTTTTTTTTTTGTGGTTTCCAATTGCATATCGTGGAATTTGAATTAGCAGAAGAATGTAGTATAAAATATGAGCTCTGCTTTCAGTTTTTGTCTCCCCTGCAACAGAAGCAGAATACGAGACATAGGAATTACAATCAGAAGGCGGGGACAGCATACACTATTGTGTAGAGCTTTATATATCTAAAAGGTAAAAGGCCTTAGTCCTATAAAGGCTATTTCCTTCATATCTTTTTTGCAGATGCCTTATGTTACAAAGTTCCAGTCTGTCTCATGTCCATTGCCCTTGACATTTTCATGGGTCAGAGACGGTTTGAAAATTTTTATTTTTTTTTGTCATGTGAATTTCTCAGACACTAATTATGAGTACAATGTAATAGGATAAATATATTTGGTGTATGGGTTCCTTTCAAGGTTTACATGTCCGTCAGACTGGGTTCACCTGGCCTGACCTCATTCCACTGATAAGCGATCAAGATTAGTTGTTAGTGGTCAAGTCCATATCTCAGATACTATAAGCAATAGGTCAACTAACTTTGGTCTATGGAATGATTGTAAGGTTTACATGCCTGACTGTCAGGTTTCATCTGACCTCGACCTCATTTTAATGGTTCATTTGTCAATGTTAATTTTTTCTGATTTGGTTTATATGTCAGAAACTATAAGCTATAGCTAAAGGTCAACTATATTTAGTGTATAGAATGATTGTAAGGTGTATATGTCTAACTGACAGGATTCATTTGACCGTGACCTCATTTTGATGGTTTATTGGTCAATGTTAAATTTTCATGGCTTTGTCTGTTTATCAAATACTAGTATAATCAATAGGTCAAATGTATTTTGTGTATGGAATGATTGTCAGGTGTACATGTCTGGCAGAGTTCATCTGACCAGACCTTGACCCCAGTTTCATGGTTCATTAGTCAACTGTATTTGGTGTATGGGATGCAGTGTTCCAGCTAGGATTTGAAAATAGAGGGGCACGTTTTTAAAAAAGGGCACTTTAGCACGTTCTCACTGAAAAAAATCAAATACTTAATATTACCACATAATGACATATTTTTAGCAAGCATGTAGCTAAGTTAAATACTCTATACTATTATATACAAGTTTAAAAGTCATTTATTTAGAACATATAAGTTAAAATCAAACTGAGAGCACTAATAGTCATTACTATATTCATTTCTCTTTCAGAATTACAGATTTTTTCAAAGAAGAGTTCAAATGCAAATAAATATTAAACAACATTGAAAAGTCTTCTGTTTTTCTTTTTGAAGAAGGTTGTCACACATTGATCAAGAATTTTTTCAAATTTAGTTTCATCACAGTTTAATTTTACAGTTAGTATTTTTGTTAATGTCTGTGTTTTCAAGTTTGCCCTGTGACTAATCTTTATCAATTTGACCTCTGCTGTACTGAGTGGTTGTATTATTGCAACACTGAATAGTTTTGCAACAAGAGGGTACATAGATAAGATAATAGGTAAATGAAATAGCTCTAGCAGACTAGGTAAGGAACGATCTGTAAGTTCTGCTGATGACACAAGAGCTATAAAGTCCTGCCATTGAATAAGGAGAGTTTCAGGGTCCATGTCAAATGTATTTGCCAGAGCTTCTATCTCTGTATAACCATACATTGTTTCAATGTTGTCTGTTCCTGTAAGGTCTAAAATGGCCAACTGATAGATTGTGTCAGCATCCTTAAATCTAACTGTTATATTTTCATATAATCCATTGAGAAAGCACTCTCTGACTTTAGTGTCAAAATCTACTGGGGGTGGGTCAGTAATGTTACATGTGCTTCTTAAATGTTCCTCTTTTTGAAGCCATGTGCCATTCTGGGTCTTTCTTGTTGTCAACAAATTGACAGTTTTCTCCACACTTGTTTTAATGTTGCCAAGATGAACATCCCTCTTCTGAAAACAAGTGAGAGGCTACAAATGTGTGGCAGCACATCTGCAAGTAGCAAAACAGCTTTCAGCATGGCAGGATCTTTAAGATTTTTAAGCAAGCCATTTCCCACTGGATCAGTTCGAATTTCTGCAGACTCTAAATGAACAACAAGAGACCTGTATGATCATGCAATTGAGGATATTGCTTGGTCATGACTTAGCCAGCGATGACGTTTTGCTAGTTTAATAGCTAAAGATGCCTGATCAAAAGCTTTCTGTATTTCTGGATTGGCCACTGACTACCATTACTTCCGTGTGATTGATGCATGTTACAAAGTTTGCAAAGCATGACACCAACTAATGTTCCATCCTCACTAAAGTCTTTGTCAAAATATAACCAGGAATACTGTTTCAACCAATTATTATTTATACCAACTTTGTGTTTCCCACTAGGATTTCTTGTTCGTGTGTAGGAAGGAAGTGTAGGGTTAGGATTTTCTTGAGTTGCTTCATTTGCTTGTATTTGTGGTTGTATAGGAGTTTTGGCTGTCTCAATTACAATTTCTGGGGTCTCATTTCCATCATTACTAAAAGAAAATAGGGAGAGTAGGGTAAACTTTACATTGAAAATTGTGTAGGTTTGGTTGTGAATTTAAATAAGAGTGCCAATGAGACAATTGTCTTTATTTCGATCTTGAGAAATAGATTAATTCAACAAATAAGTTTGTTAATTCAACTTTGAAAGTTTATTATCAATTCAACAAGCATCTCCGTATATTTCATGTTGAGCGTATCTAATAATATCAATAAGTTTGTCAAAACGGATTTCAATAAGAAAATTGATACAAAAATCGGACTTTCGAGAGCTCCGTAATCGGCACAATAATAAATTAATTCAACTTTGAAAGTTTATTATCAATTCAACAAGCATCTCCGTATATTTCATGTTGAGCATATCTAATAATATCAATATTAAAGTTAGTCAAAACGGATTTCAATTTAAGAAAAATGATATAAAAATCGGACTTTCGAGTGCTTCGTAATCAGCGGAATTTACAATAGAAGAACAATTGCGATATCTGATAGAAACCTTTCTTCTTCTCGATTTTTCATAAAAGTAAAGAATTAAATTATTTTTTTACCTTTGATGGTCATTATTCTTGAAAAAAGATGTAATAGACTGGCAAGTCTTTGATATTTTCTTCTTGTCATTTTCGAGTTGGTCAATTTTTCTTTTTTTCGTCGGCATTTTGCGTGTTGACGATTTACAATATACTATTGGAATGATTCTTTTTTAATGAACATTATTTTATAGATAACAAATACAATAGAAATGAACATCGTTCACATTTATTTTTTTAAATTCTATTTTGCATCGTCAGGTGTTAAAAAATCAATTCATTTAACTTGGATGTTTGGTGCTTCAGTGCAAAGGGATTAGACAGGGTCGTAAATTTCACCTGATTAAGTAATTGACTCTATTCAAATAGGTGATTATATACAGGTAACAAGTGTCAACAATTTTAATCTGTTGTCTTAATGAAGTGTGTGTATAAAGAACTCAACAAAATGGCGACGATATGAGGAAAAAAGATCATTTTTAAAACTTTTTTCAAAAGGGCACAGAGGGGCGCATCAAAAGGGCAGAGGGGCGCAAAATTTTGGGGGCGGGGTGCGGCGCCTCTCCATTTCATGCTAGCTGGAACACTGGGATGATTGTCAGGTATACATGATTGTCAGGTATACATGTCTGTCTGGCAGGGTTCATCTGACCTTGACCTCATTTTCATGGTTCATTAGTCAATGTTGTTTTCATAGTAATGTTTGTATTCAGATACTGTGACATTTACTGTCAGCAATAGGTCAACTATATTTGGTGAATGGAAGGATTGCATAGTGTACATGTTGTCTGGCATGGTTAATCTGACCTTGACCTCATTTTCATGGCTCATTAGTCAATGGTAAATTTTCGTAATTATGTCTGGGTTTTTTCGGATACCGTAATGCAAATGGTTAACTATATTTGTTGTATGTTATGATTGTCAGGTGTACGTGTCTGTCTGGCAGTGTTCATCTGACCTTAACCTCATTTACATTGATAATGTTAAGTTTATATGAAACTTATAGTAAAACCTTCATATTACACTCTTTCAATATAAATTCACTCATGATAAGTAAAGCAGGAGAGACATATCAGTGTATGCACTCTTGTTCTTGTTTTATTAAAGAAGTCTAAGTAATAGTTTGATTTAAGTATTTTCATTTATATCATCAATAAGATATATTACTAAAAGTTGTATATGAACATGATGTAGTGAGAAAACAGGAAACATTTATGTTTACAAAACAATATTTTGTCTTATTACAGTTAAATCGCAGGCATGGCTAACCAACCAGGTAAGTTATTTTAAATATTATTTTTTAAGAAAAAATGTAAAATATTTTGACATGTTGATGAATTGAGAAAATTCATAACCATGAGATTATGGTAAAAACAGAAGTACATCAGTGTGAAAAATACTCGCACAAAAGTTGCTTCATTTTTTCTTCAGTCATTGCTGCTGTACATGTAATGCTGTAAAATTTTTATGAAAACCATTTGTAAATATAAAATGCATATATTAAAAAAGAGAACAAGTTCACAAAATGATATCAAAGCTTACATTTACAATCAACATGATCAGTGATTAGAACTATTTGAGGAATAAATAAATTAAATGTGGAATATGCATGTACATGTGTCACACACATGTACAGTGATTAAAAGAATAATTTTCATCTATCATTGCCCATACTGTACATCTTCAGAATTCTTTTTCTTCAAATCGTTCTGTAAAACAGTTTGGATCCCTAGAGTTCTTACTAAGATGAGTCCTGGGCCTACTGTCATAAAACTTTATTCAGTACTCGGAGTACAAAATTTGTGCTACAAACACAAAATCCAGCATTCTGATTGGTTGAATTTTGAGAGTACGGTTCTCTTACTCCAAATTTTTATGACCGCAAGGCTTGGAATCTTGAAAATAAGACTAGACTCACCATTTAAATTTTGGATACTTCCAAAACTGCATCAAAATTCACTGAGCTGAGTCTCGAAATCATCATTGCATTACAAAAAAATGGAATTACTTAATTAGTAATGTTAATCTGATTAAGGACATTTTGTTCAGACTAGATCAAGAACACTTGCTGATGACTTAAGGCTCTGATTATGTTGATTTTAATTGTCAGTATTGTGGAATCATCATTGCAAAAAATGACTAGTCCTAAGATTCATCTAAAAAATTCTAAGTGAGAACCCTAATTCCTCTGAATCTATTGATTAATAAATAAAGACTGTTTTGTCCAATTGAATTTTACTAAATTTCTTAACAAACGAAATATAATTGAACTATAATATAGGGTTCAGTTTCTTAGTTATTAAATAATGGTATACCAAGTATGATGATTTCTTTGGGACAAAGGAGTCACAAATTAAAAAATCTCAAGCAATAACAAAACAACAAACTTTAGATGTCATAAAATATTGGGAGTTTTTTTTGGGACAACTTAAATTTTCCGAACCACAAAACCTATATATGTACTTATACATAAGAACAAATTACCTTTTCTAGGAGGGTTTAATTTTGGAGGTCTATCTGCAACATCAACACCATTTTCACTAAATAAATCTGCAACAGCCCCTGCCGCCACTGGTGGCTTTAGCTTTGGTGCTGCACCTGCAGCAGGAGGACAATCTACAACCACACAACAAGCAGCAGGTGGTTTGAGCTTTGGTGGCACAGCCAGTACAGGCACAGGTAGGTTTAACAATATGTAATGAATGATAAGGCTTTTTTAACAAATCCTAAATTCTCCCCTTTTCTTTGTAAATGGGTGAAAAGGGAGAGAAACCTCTAGCAAAATAAAAGGAAATAACCTAAGTTCAAGAGCGCTCGTCACTTTCGTTATTTACCAAACTGTTTTCAAAATGACGAAAGTATTTCAAATCAATTTCGTCACTTAAATTTGGAAAGCGTAAAAATATTTTCGCATGAAAACACTATAATTCTAACTGTCTACATGTTTCTGACAAGTTTATGACCCTCAGCTTATTCACATTTACAACAGGTGTTATAAAGTTGTGATTACAGGTAATCCGCTTATCGCCATCGGATGGGTCACTAATCCGGTTAATTATTTTCCCCAGTAAAATTAGTCAGTCTGCATTTTAATTTTAATATTTCTCAAGGCCAACTACCAGATTTTGCAGTTCGCTTGTCGTAGTTTCGTCATTTGAACAAAATTGTTTCCCCCCGGACAATTCGCTTTTTAATTTCAATATTTCTAAAACGATCATAACTTGCAGTTCGTTTGTCTTAGTTTCGTCAGATGATCGTATTTTTGTCATCTTTGATATAAAATGTTCAATTTCGATTAAAAAGATAGAACTTTATTCAAAACGTTCAGAAATGTTTTCACGTTAAAAATTTCCATCATCATCAATGAGTCAAACAGGTTACAATCAACCATTAGATTTTATGGGCGCAGCCATTTTATGAGCATAACATGGTATTCAGAGTTAAGAGTATAGCTAATCCTGATTGGTTGATATGTGTGCCCGTTATTTTTTTATTATTAGAGACTTCGTGCATTCTGCATTATACCAAAGGCCAAATAAATTATTTTCCTTAGCCCTAACAGAACTGAGATGTCTTTTCAACGCTAGGATGAGACACGTATTTTCAAGTGCAAAGTTGATAGGCATGGGAGATAAGTACAAATTATGGTAAGAAAAACAACGTGAACCTATATTTTTTGGACCAAAAAGTACTGTCCTAATAACTTTTCTTTAATTCTAGCAAGGTTTCGTTAAAAAAATCAACTTTCTAAAGTCGGTATCTCGAAAAAGGCTATCATTGTCGCCTATGGGGAAATTAATTGTTTATTTCAATCTACAGGTGCTTCCTTTACGATATACTGCGCATGCATGAAAGTATTCCTATGAATTTATAGACACTTAAACGTAAAATACAAAATATATTTAGTGCCAAAATAAATGAGAGAGACAAATATAGTTCTTACTAAGCAAATTGAAATAAAAAAATGATAATTTCCTGCCTTTTTTTAAACACGAACCAATCCGTAGATGAATCCTGATTCATTCTGAGTTTATTATCTACATGTACTTGTCACTTCCTGTTTACATTTCATTTGAAAATCGAAAGTAAATGTGATCAATTCTCGATTAATTTACAATTTAGTTATTCGAATCGTTCCATGGGAATTTGTACAAATCCTTGGTTCCAACTTTATAGAAATTAATTCAAAATATCGATTTAAACATCTTATAAGGATAATGATTATGCAGTGTAATAGTCTTACAAAGTTCAACAAGTTCATTTATACTGTGATTCCTGGTTTTAAAAAAAGGAACCCAACTTTTGTTGATCAGGAATGTCCCTTGAAACTAATTGAAGTAAAATTTTGAACTAGATTTTCAGATATTATATCCTAATCTTCATATTTAAGTGACACATCAGTCAAATCATGCAATTAGTCCTTCAAAGTCTGACAAAGATGTATAGTTAGTAATTATAATATACATACATCCTTGGTCCCTTGCTGTTACCCAAAATAATGTTGATTTTCATCTCGCGCAAAAGTGACTAAAGCCCTCAAAATCCTAGCTTAAACTCTGGTTCAAGCTTCCTTAATTTGTTTGCATTGAAGAAATCTAAGCAGGGGGGGATAATCTAGATTTTTTTTATTATGGCCTTACAGTTAATTTTGAAAAAAAGTAGATTATTACATCATTTTTGAAGCGGAGGGGGCATTAAGTGTTACCCTTGTCCGTCCCGTCTGTCACGTACATCCCCAAAATTGGTTTCCGTTCTCAACCAAATGTTATAAAACTTATACACAATGCTTGTTGCCACAAAACACAGATCAAGTTCGAAATTGGGTAGCGTCACTTTTACCGTTCTTGAGTTACGCCCCTTTATAAATGGAAAAATTGATCGCGTACATCCCCAAAATTGGGTTTCCGTTCTCTAACTTTAGTTTGCCTCAACCAAATGTTATGAAACTTATAGACAATGCTTATAATCACAAATTTAACTACGTGAATCCTGCATGTATGTGGAAGTTGATTCATGTATATATTTACAAGCAGGGGCATCTGTGGCCAATAGACACATTCTCCATTTAATTTGCCTTAACCAAATGTTATGAAACTTACACACAATACTAATTACCACAAAACACTGATCAAGTTTGAATTTTGCTGGTGTCACTTTTACCGTTCTAGAGTTATGCCCCTTTACAAATGGAAAAATTGCTGAATTTTTCAATTCTGTTCTCTAACTTAAGTTTGCTTCAACCAAATGTTATGAAACTTATAGACAATGCTTATTACCACAAAACACAGATCAAGTTTGAATTTCAGTGGCGTCACTTTTACCATTCTAGAGTTGTGCCCCTTTACAAATGGAAAAATTGATGAATTTATCGTTTCCGTTCTGTAACTTTAGTTTGTCTCTACCAAACGTTATGAATCTTATACACAATGCTTATTACCACAAAAAACAGATCAAGTTTGAATTTTGGAAGCGTCACTTTTACTGTCCTAGAGTTGTGCCCCTCTACAAATGGAAAAATTGCTGAATTTTCGTATCCGTTCTCTTACTTAAGTTTGCCTCAACCAAATGTTATGAAACTTATACACAATGCTTATAAACAACACTTAGATCAAGTACGAATTTGGGTAGAGTCACTTTTACTGTTCTTGAGTTATGTCTTTTTATAATGTTATGTGCATTATTTACATGTATTTTATTATTTACTTTATACTTAGGCATGCTGATGCATTGTTTTTTTTTAGCAAATAAGATCAACATAAAATACACAAATATATTTCTTTTTTATATAAGGTGGGTTTAACTTGGGAGCCAATCTGGCGGCAACCTCAGCTCCAACAGGTGGTTTTGGTTTTGGAGGTGGCACACAGCCTGCTAGTACCTCAACTGGATTCACTTTAGGAGGCATACCTGCTGCCACCAGTGCTACGGCGGGGCCTACCCTAACTGGATTACTATCTGGAAATCCACCTGGAAGTACAGGAGCCTTAGGACTAGGTGGTGTGGCACCTAAACCTGCAGCTACAGGTATAATATGTTCTAAGACTATTGTGTCAATTTCGATAAAATATTGCAAATTTGGCATGTTTTTGTAAATTAATTTATATTTGAAATACAATGTACATGATATATAGCCATTCTTTTGATAAAATTAGTTTTTTCTATGGAAAGTCCTTCACATATTCATCTTTGGGATATGCCCTGCAAAGGCTAACCCTTGAATAAAATGGCCTGTAACGTATAGAAAGGAACTCTTATCTCCTCACTTGTGGGTACATCTTTTTGGGATCAATTTTTGTTTGCAGATAGATGGGTAGGACTTTTAAGAAAAGGAATCACTGAAGTAGATTATAAAAAATACAACAACAAATAGAATTCCAAACCAAACTTGTTAACTTTGTATAAAAACATGGAAGGGAAAAAAATTATATTAATTGGGAGTTCAAATACATGTATATACTTTTTTAATAACAGGTGTATCATTTGGACAGGCAACATTAATAGGGGCAACAACTTCTGCACCAGCAACTGGATTATCTTTTGGAGTAACAACTCAACCTGCAACTGGTTTAACCCTGGGAGGGTTAGCTAAAACCACCACAGGTCCAACATTAGGTGGAATCTCACAAGCAAAGCCTGGTTTTAGTCTTGGAGGTGCAATAAGTCAGCCAGCTGCAGGACTTGGTGGGACCCCACAAACATCAACTGGATTTGGACTTGGTGGGACCACACAAGCATCAACTGGATTTGGAATTGGTGGGACTACACAAACATCTTCACAAGGGTTTGGCCTAGGTGGAACCACACAGACAGCCACTGCTGGATTTGGTGCAAAACCATCATTACAAACTGGTCTCACCATGGGTGCTGCCGGAATCAATATTGGACAAGCTACAAGTGGTATGTTTAAATTTATTTATCTATTCCCTGGGTTACATTTGTTTAAAATGCGCTTAAACAGCCAATTAAAGTGTATTTAATGGAACGCCTTTGCATAATTTCTTTACAAATCTTTATATTGTGTCTTGTTTTTGCACTGTATCATACAGCATTTTATCAGATTAATCAAAAACATTAAAAAGGAATATACACATACAGCTGAAATTAGAAAGGCCTTATGCAACTACTGGCATGAAGAGAATTAAGGTGAAGGAAGGTGATTAGAAAAAAAGCATCCCCCTTAAAAAATAATAAAAAGAAGAAAATGACAAAACAAAAAAGTTTAAAAAAAAATAGTTATTATACTGCCCACTTGAAAATTTGATGTGCCAACTTACCTACAATGTAGTCAGTCTTCTGTGCCAGCTTACCTACAATGTAGTCAGTCTTATGTGACAGCTTACCTACAATGTAGTAAGTCTTATGTGCCAGCTTACCTACAATGTAGTAAGTCTAATGTGCCAGCTTACATACAATGTAATAAGTCTTATGTGCCAGCTTACATACAATGTGGTAAGTCTTATGTGCCAGCTTACCTACAATGTAGTAAGTCTTATGTGCCAGCTTACCTACAATGTAGTAAGTCTTATGTGCCAGCTTACATACAATGTAATAAGTCTTATGTGCCAGCTTACATACAATGTGGTAAGTCTTATGTGTCAGCTTACCTACAATGTAGTAAGTCTTATGTGCCAGCTTACCTACAATGTAGTAAGTCTTATGTGCCAGCTTACATACAATGTAATAAGTCTTATGTGCCAGCTTACCTACAATGTAGTTAGTCTTATGTGCCAGCTTACATACAATGTAATAAGTCTTATGTGCCAGCTTACATACAATGTGGTAAGTCTTATGTGTCAGCTTACCTACAATGTAGTAAGTCTTATGTGCCAGCTTACCTACAATGTAGTAAGTCTTGTGTGCCAGCTTACCTACAATGTAGTTAGTCTTATGTGCCAGCTTTCTTATGTGCCAACTTACATACAATGTGGTAAGTCTTATGTGCCAGCTTACCTACAATGTAGTTAGTCTTGTGTGCCAGCTTACCTACAATGTAGTAAGTCTTGTGTGCCAGCTTACCTACAATGTAGTTAGTCTTATGTGCCAGCTTACCTACAATGTAGTAAGTCTTGTGTGCCAGCTTACCTACAATGTAGTTAGTCTTATGTGCCAGCTTACTTATGTGCCAACTTACATACAATGTGGTAAGTCTTATGTGCCAGCTTACCTACAATGTAGTTAGTCTTGTGTGCCAGCTTACCTACAATGTAGTAAGTCTTGTGTGCCAGCTTACCTACAATGTAGTAAGTCTTGTGTGCCAGCTTACCTACAATGTAGTAAGTCTTATTTGCCAGCTTACCTACAATGTAGTAAGTCTTGTGTGCCAGCTTACCTACAATGTAGTAAGTCTTATGTGCCAGCTTACCTACAATGTAGTAAGTCTTGTGTGCCAGCTTACCTACAATGTGGTAAGTCTTATGTGTCATCAGCTTACCTACAATGTAGTAAGTCTTATGTGCCAGCTTACTTACAATGTAGTAAGTCTTATGTGCCAGCTTACCTACAATGTAGTAAGTCTTATGTGCCAGCTTACCTACAATGTAGTAAGTCTTGTGTGCCAGCTTACCTACAATGTAGTCAGTCTTCTGTGCCAGCTTACCTACAATGTAGTAAGTCTTATGTGCCAACTTACCTACAATGTAGTAAGTCTTATGTGCCAACTTACCTACAATGTAGTAAGTCTTATGTGCCAGCTTACATACAATGTAGTAAGTTTTCTTGAAAGAACAGGCAGATTCAAACTCCAAAGCTGTAGGAAGTCTTCTTAATGTCTGATAATCATAGAGTTTACAAAAAGTGAAAACACAACAAAAGTATTCACCTCATTAATGTTAAAGTTAATCAACAACTCAGGAATAAGAAACACATATTTTCTATTTCAATTAGCTGGATCTAGTATATTTGGACAGACTGCAGCCAAACCACAAGTTGCAGGTCTGGGAGGTGTTGATCCAAAGACTTCAGCAGTTACATCTGGTAAGGGTTTCTATGATAATGAACCAAGGAATGAAACCAACCCTCTATTTATACTGTAAATTCAAAATTATCACATTCATTTATAATTGCGATTTTTGAAGAAAGGACAAAAATATGAGATTTATTATTGCGATTTCAGGAAAACCTGCATACGGATATGTGCATCAGATATCACAATGTGAGTTCTTATTATTGTGATACTCACTTAGTCGCAATATTCACATAAATAAAAACCTCGCAATAATTTATGAATTTACAGTAGTTAATCGTGAAAAAATGCTAAAGATTTGGAGAAGGGTAAAAATTCTAGTTATTATATATACAACCTGGTAATTTTAAGTTATCCTAAAGTGTTTGATCCTGTTTATTGTTGTTTTTGTGACATATATGTAACATGTCTGAACTTAATCTGTGTTGTTGGTATGATAAGTTCACTTTTGGGAACAAAAGATAAAAAATGATTTTCAAGGAGTGGTTGTTTACTTGTAATAAGTGGAGAAAATGAATTTCTCTTCACCTTATATTTTATACTTTTTACATAATTACTTCTTGAACATTTTTGTTCACAAATATTGATTATAAGTATGTGAGAGTTACATGTGATTCACATATATGTCCTTCTTTCATATGTAATGTGGTGGTCATATGTATTTCAATTCTACTGGAATTAATAATGAATAGAAAATGGAATTAGTTTATTGTCATGTAACTGCATTATAACTTATTAACAAATAAACATACCAACAAATTAAAACTATTATCTAAATGAAAGACAATTACAATGAAATATCTATCAATCATAATCATGATAATAGTGTTTCTTCAAATAAGTTTCTCCAGACATTTATTTGGATTTTATTTAAACAACCCAGATATTAACACTGAAAAAAGTATTTATGTTACATTTAAAACTTGACATAGTCAGTGTCGTTTAGTTATAAGTACTTTAAGAAATAATGTCATCTGCTTCTGTATATGCAATCACTTTTAGTTATGAATATATCTCGGTGTGAGCATTTAGGAAAAAATATATTTTTAATAAATAAACATGTACAAAAGTCTACTTATACAAATTTGAAAACCTGAAATCCCACAAAACCTTTTAAATGAGTCCAATCTGAAATTGAATAAGTATTTATTACCCCTTTGTATGGGACTATGCTATATACATTATATTTTTTTCTTTACAGGTGGAACAACAACAGATACAAAGCCAGGGTAAGCCTTTGTAACAATACTATTGGAATGTTCCATTGGCAAGTTTTGATAGTTAAAAAAACAAGACACACAGAATGTGGGGAGGGGTTAAAATGTTTTTAGGTGCACTAATCCTCTCCCTTACCTGGGACAGTGGCATAATAGCACAACATAAGAACAAACTATAAAAATCAGGTGAAAAGGGCTTAACTCACCAGATCGATACAAAGCACAACGACAACTGAAAAAACACAAAAGACACAAAAAACAGACCTGAACGTACTCACAGTTACTGGAAGCTAGTTCAATGCCAATAACGACTAATAAAAAAAATCATGTATCTAAGACTAAAATATCAATCAGTACACATCCAACTTCCAATGGATTTAGTGTAAAGATGTCATTACAAGTCAGAGAAAAACATGACCTTTTGCAATGCCAAAATATAGGTGTCGACAGATTATAGGACCGTGAATGTACATATGTGTATAACAATGATATTTAGTTGCGTTTAAATTTATCGATAACAAAATAAATATTTATACTGATAAGAACAATAATCAAAGATTTAATTACAGTGTTAAATTGATAAGTTTATTTTAAGGATTGATAAGTGTACCTGGTTTGTATCTACATTTATGGGCTCGGTAATCAACATCACCGTAAAAATTAGAATGTGCTATCCTGTTTGTTATAAGTTTTCTACAGGTTCAGCCAAACTTTCAGACTAAATCTTTGTATCAATGATAGAATTTAGTTTATTATGGTAATGAAACCCTTGACTCAACAATTTACCCGTAATACATTTCTAGTCATAAAAGTGACATTAAAATTAATTGCTATAAAAGCAAACTCTAACTAAGTACCCCATCAAAAACTTTATACTATCAACTTTAGATGGTTGTCTGACAGCTGAGTTCACCTGACAGGTAGACTGTTACTTGACATTGGTCAATCCTTTTGAAGTTGTTTTAACTGTTTAACTGTATTGCTTCACATTAAACAGTTCAGTTTGTAAAAGCAATATTTAAATTCTTTATATTAAAAAGGATTTTGATTGAAAAAAAATACAGAATCATGTTGTTTACACAAGTGTGCAAATTCAGGTTGGTATGAAACTTAATTATGTAATTGAAAGCTTTCAAAATGAATTAAAAACCAGTGATTTATGATTTTCTCAAGCATTTAGCTGAAGAAATGATGTGGAAAGAGCAAAACTTCAAAAGTCTCAAAAAAAATGTACAAGGATTTCAGGTATTCTGTCTGTTCAGAGTTTTAGTTTTGTCAAGTCAACATCATTAGAAAACTTTTGCTTTTAAAAACAAAGTAAAGTTTCTTATCAAAATGTTATTGCATTGATAAAAGAGTATTGGGCAAATGTAAAATTGAGAATGGAAACAGGGAATGTGTCAAAGAGACAATGTTTCGACCAAAGAGCAGAAAACAGCCCTAGGCCACAATGGGTCTTCAACACAGAGAGAAAATCCCGCACCAGGAGTTGGGTTTCAGCTGGCCCCTAAACAATGAGGTATACTAGTTCAGTGAAAAGTAAGTCTGCTGATGTTCTGACCTTCAAAAGATGCTCTGTAAATTAACAAAACTATTAATGTACCATTTAATGCCAGTTCACTGAATCTATATCAGAAGTATGAAGTTATCATTTTAGGTGTTGTGACCAAATACACTGTCCTAGATTCCCAAATGGTCACATTGATTGACTTGAAAGCCTATAGTTACAAAGTCTAAACAGATTGAAAATGGGGTAAAACAAATTTTTGACTTGGTCATTTTGTTTTTGGTTTGTTTTTGGAAGCCCTGGATCAGTTACATGAAAATAGATACATGTGAAAGAAAGTCTTTGTGTTAATTATGATCATGTTAAATAATTTAGACAAGGCATTGACATATTTGTTCTGTCAATTAATTTGCTATAAAATATCTTTCTGCTTTTCCATTTCAGGGATGGCAAAACACTTAAAGAATCACAGCTGCCTCCAGAAATATATGGAACTGTTGATGAATTTCAGTAAGTCTTAAAAAATGACTACTGATTGACATGAGAAAATTAAGAAGTTTGGATAGAAAATTTATGCAATGGTTTAGTTGCATGTTTTTTCAATTGGACGAAGATCTATGAAGTTACATGTTATGGCTTTTCACCGGTATACTGAGTTGAAATTAAAAAAGTAAATACTGAGATGCATGACAATTTAATATTAATTCATATAAGACAGCATTATCATGTTATATCAGTTTATAAATATCATGCATAAATATTATTTTGTCAATTTATAGGAGTTAAAAATAAATCCTGAAAATGCCTGTTGTCTAAATGGTGAAATAAACAATGAATGCATTAAAATTACTTAAGATTCATCAGCCTTGGGGAAAAGGAGATATGAGTTCATGTACATTTCACAAAATTTTCTCAAGAATTACAATTACACCTGGAAGCTTGCTCAACTTGAACACAGGGGATTGTTGGTAAGATCCCTGATGGGGTCTAAAGAAAGACTTGAACATTGGAACTTGCAACTTTTCCGCAAAGCACATGGCATTTAGAAATATAAGTAAGGACTGGTTAGCTCAGTAAAAATAATGTGTCCGGGAAGGGTGACACATCTTTTTGTGGACTTTTAACTTGTGAAGTTTCACTTTAAAAATCCATCTCAGTGTGTTGGTTTGGTCAAGCAGGGCACATATTCATATCACATTATCATGTTCTCGTCCTGAATATGCATTTAATATATCACTAGATGTACATGATCTTCATCGTAGGGAAAAAAGAATACCAAAGTTATAGCACTTTTATTGCTGTTCTCTATCTATCACTAAGAAAACTCGCACCTTGCAACAATATCAAACTTCAGAGGTCTTTTTTTTATATTCACAAATAACTTTTATAGATGTGTTTTGAAGAACATTTGCTGGAGATGTCACATTTTATTATTGCAGGAAGTACACCAAATCAGAGAAGAATGTACAAGATGACTTAGCCAGATCTACCTCCAAACCTCTATACAAAGTGCAAGAAGATGTTGTAGCTTTAAGGCAACTTTTATCTGTAGTGTCCAATGGTCTACAGAGAAATGCAGTGGTAGTCGAAAAGTTAAAACATGAAATGACTCAGGTAGGGCTTTGAAATGCATTCATGGTAAGAGTTAATTTGCATGATTTGAATTAAAAAACTTGCAAATTACAATTATGAAACTGTTCTTGATAGCAAATTAGTTCAGTTGGAATTCAAACTCTGCTAAAAACATGTAAAGTATTGGAACAAAATTAAGAATGTTCTAGTGTCATTTAGCCTCACATCAAGCCTTGTTAAAAGTGGTACTGGCTTGAAAAAATGTTACAGCTCAATCACTTTATTGATCACAACTTGAAAGGTCTTAACAACTATAAGGTAATTTTCACTTTACCGTCTTTTGGTGTGTATAAAACGCGGTCATGCAAAGTACACACCCAGTTTTTCGCCCTTGAAACTTGAGAAAAAGTTTCTTCTTAACACGCAGTGACTTTCTGGAAAAATCCCAACTAGAAACTTGGTAAAATGCATCCATTGAAAAGTGATTTCTTTTTCGGACACAAATTGAACTCCAGTCCTGGTTGATTACAGGATAATGAAAATATTGTTGCAGAATAAATAATTTAGCAAATGATGTTTGATTCTTTATTGTTTCCATGGATGTGTTTGATTGAGAACAACAGGAAGTGTAAATCAGGAAGTTGTTTAAATGCTAATCGCAGTCGGTGAATCTTGTAAGGAATACGGAATCATTACGAATATTCTAAAATACACAATGAATAAATAAATTGTAATATTTATGTTGATAAATTAGTGCTAAAATAAATATTAATCTCTGTTTATTGTTTGTTGGTACTCATTGAATCGTTTAATCCGGATTATCACACTCTTATTGAATATCAATTAAGAAGTCTAATTGTTGTCAAAACAAATTTGATTGACAGATTGATTTTGTTCCTTAATCAAATTCGTACAGTTAACAAGAGGGCATTGACATGTCTGAAATAATGATTTGAAACGGTATGTAGGTTTTTAAAGTGTCACAAAGTAAAAATGTGTATGAAATCATCACTTTATTCAACTTTACAATAAAGTCACATAACATGTGATCACCTGATACAACGAAAGTAAAAAACAATGGCGGTTGCTATCATCAAACGGGCGTGCTTCATTCAATTTTTATACATTTACCTTCTGTATTCCTTGTTAGAACACATATACAAAGTAAGTAATAAACCAGACAAACACCTACACTAATTTAGCCATTGACAGAATCCTTCATCTCTAACTTGGACATGACCAAATGCAACTTCTGGACGGCTCGGGAGAACAGACACAAGAAAACGAAATAAACAACTACTGAAGCATTTAAATGATTTTTATTTGCATACAACATTAAAAACAGTAACAAATCAGATACAATTCAGATACAAATAAACATGTAAAACGTAACAACAATCAAGTGCATGCTATGAAAATATTTTCCTCCAGATTCCTGGTCTCTCGGTCGGAATTCAGACCTGAAAAAAGTCTACAGAACTGTGTAGCTATACATAATACGCACCCCCTTTTCAGAAATCTATCCCAGGGTAAAAACCCACGTACTATACACACCAAAACACGTTATTTATCATAATTTAAAAGGTCTTAAAGTCGGCTTTTAATGTATGTTTCACAGGAATTGAAAAATGCTGAGATGTCAATGAGAACCAAAGATATACCTCCAGGACTACAGTATGACAACACAGCTCCTGCAGAGTTAGTATAGTGCAAACATATCTCTTTTTGTGAAGAAAATTTCCAAAGGGGTCATACTTTCCATTATTTCATTTATAAATTTTATGGTTGCTTTGACAGAAATAATTGGAAAGAATATCATACACACTGTTATAAATTTTCAATAAAGATAAAATATTTTATAAAATATAGATAAATGATTATTATATTTTTTCATTGATAAGATAAAGTTTTTCAGCTAATATAAATGATTATAGGTCATATTATGATATCAATTTAACAAAGGAAAAATGAATTTCCATTTAAGATTTGAAATTAGTAAGTGAGTTTTGAAAAATGTAAAAAACTAGTAAAAATATAAGAAATTTGTAAGGTACATTGAAACTGTTGTAATTTCTTTTGAGATGGTTAATATAGTTTTGTTTAAATTAATAATAAATTATATTGATTATTTTTTACTTTAATTTGAATGTTAGAAATAACAGTTATGAATTTTTGGACTTCTGTACAAGGATGAAATTCTTCATTTCAGATACTTCCATCGTTTGGTAGAAGATTTTGAGAATCAGATGTTATCATACAGACAGCAGATAGAAACATTAGAAGAACACTTGGCATCTACACACCAGCCAAATAAACTTACACCGGATGGTAGATATGTCTTTAAGCGCTGTTTATGATTTATCTTGGTGTTTTTTAAATTTTTATATAGTTATAAAGTTTTCATCTGATATTCTGAAAAAGTTCTTACAAAATGCTTTTGAAAATGAATTTGGAAAGTTAAATATATAAAATTGCAAGATGTTTAACCAATTATTTATTAGAGAGTATCATGACAGAATGTCAGCTCATAGATAACCACGCCAAATAATAGTTTTTGTAAATGTCTGCCTAGAACATCTCGGATCCAGGCATAAACTTAGGGTTTTCAAAATTTTCATCTTAGAACCAAAAAAAAAAATCATTTGATTATATGGTCTTTTTCACTGGTCTATTTTCAGGTAGTCTATGAGCAGAAGTAAAACTGTATGACTTTGCAATCTATTAGAAGACATACAACTGTATGAATTTATTATCTATTGATTGATGTTTAAAGCCACTTTCAGAACTGTTGGCTATTTCATGGTGGTCAGATTTTATTGGTGGAGGAAGCCAGAGTGTCTGGAGAGAACAACCCATCTTTGGCAGGAAAACTGACAATCCTAGTCAATTAAGATTTGAGTCAAACATACCTGCCATGTTAGGGGTTGGAACTCACAACCTCAGTGTTGACAGGCTAGTGATACAGTAGATGGACTACTTGGACCACTCGGCCATCGAGGCCCACAATTTTTTAATCTATGAGCAGACATAAAACTATATGACTTTCTTATCTACGAGCAGAAATAATTCTGTTTGACTTAGTTATCTCTGAGCATTTATCTTTTTTCAGATTTAATTTTGTTACTAAGGAAACTCCATGAGACATTTATAGCATTAGCTGCACAGTTACATCAAGTACATGAAGCTGTGAAGGTATTTAAACATACTGTTGTTTTTATGAGAATTTTAAGTGGGTCTTGAAAAAGGATGTATCCTGGTGAATACCATATCCCACAAGTTAAAGGTTACTCTGACCTACATTTAATGCTTCATTGACATGTTAATTATCAGGTCTGAATACAGATCTAAGATACTTAGTAACCTACTGTAAAATGGTTTGGTGAAAAGATGTGTCTTTGGGAGTATGAAAGTCTTCCTTAAAAAGTAGACCTACATTTCAAGCTTAATTTATTAGGATCTTAGTTTTGATTTCTGATCTCCAATATTAAATAACCTACAATCACAAATATTAGCTTCACAAAATGACAATTTTTTTATAATTTTGTTTATAAGGAATTTCCCTATAGGAATGTCCTATAAGGTTTTTGCCCCAACAAAAAGTTGATAGCCACATTTTTGGGAACATATTATTTTTATTTACTTAAATGTATGGATGTTATGTTTTAGACACAAAAAGAACACTATTTAAACTACAGAAAGATTTTTCTCCATGATACAAATAATATATTTGAGCCAGAAAAGAAACAGCAACCCCAAACTAGACCAGATACATCTACACATCTGGGTCCTACACCATTTGGTGGTCTGACTAACGCTGCTGCAGTTGCCATGGCATCAGCTTTAACTAGATCACAACAGCCTGCAGGTAATTCTGACATGTTCAAATCTGTAATTTATTATTCTGGATCCATTTTAAAATTTATTCAAATATGACGCTCTTCTTCTGCTTTAGAAACAAAGCCATTTTCTAATTGCAATAGAACATGGGCTACAAGTGATTGATGTCACAATTGAATTGCAATGTCAGATGTATTTTGAACAACGCCAGAGATCAAAATGGACATTTTTGTTGGTGTTGCTGGATAGAAAATTAAATAAAATCATTCTAAAAGTAAGGACATGTATCTGTTCATTTTTATACGACCGCATAAATTGAAAATTTTTTGGTTGTATATTGGTATGACGTTGGCGTCGTCGTCGTCGTCGTCCGAAGACACATTGGTTTTCGCACTCTAACTTTAGTTTAAGTGAATGGATCTCCATGAAATTTTACCATAAGGTTCAATACCACGAAAGGTAGGTTGGGATTGATTTTGGGGGTTATGGTACCAACAGTTAAGGAATTAGGGGCCAAAAAGGGGCCAAAAATAAGCATTTTTGTAACTTCCAGACAATATCTTGTGTGTAAGTGTATGGATCTCTCTGACATTGTACCACAAGGTTCCATATCATAAAGGGAAGGCTGTAATTGATTTTGGGGGTAATTGCCTCAAAATGTTAGGAATTAGGGGCCAAAAAAGGGGCAAAAAACAAGCATTTTTCTAGTTTCATGACAATAACTTGTGTGTAAGTGTTTGGATATTTCTGAAATTGTACTACAAGGTTCCATATCACAAAGGGAAAGCTGGAATTGAGTTTGGGGGTAATTGCCCTAAACGTTTAGGAATTGGGGGCCAAAAAGGGGCCAAAAATAAGCATTTTTCTAGTTTCCAGACTATAACTTGTGTTCAAGTGTATGGATCTCTCTAAAATTGTACTGCAAGGTACCATACCACAAAGGGAAGGCTGGGATTGAGTTTGGGGGTGATGAATCATAAAGGGGTTCAAAAAATTTGGGGGGGGGGGGGATTTTTTTTTTTTCCTTTTTTTTTCTTTTTTTCCTTTTTTTTTCTTTTAAAATTTTCCATTTTAAGTTGGTTATTTCTGATTTATATTTAAAAGCAAATAATAATGATATGGTAGAAGATACACACCAAACAGGATGTGTAAATTATTATATAATAAGTATTGTGCAATAGCAAGAAATTTTCAATTACACAGTATTGCACAATAGCAAGAAATCTTCAATTGCACAGTATTGCGCAATAGCAAGAAATCTTCAATTGCACAGTATTGCGCAATAGCAGGAAATATCCAATAGCACAATATTGCGCAATAGCAGGAAATTGTCAATTGTACAGTATTGCACAATAGCAAGAAATATTCAATTGCACAGTATTGTGCAAAAGAAGATACTTCGTATAAATTGCTTATTTCTTGATCAATTTCAATGGGGTTTTATTCTTGAATTCTTGGGGTTCTTTAATATTCTGAATCTAACCATGTATTAAGTTTTTGGATTTTGGGCCCTGTTTTTAAATTGGTCCACATTGAGGTCCAAAGGGTCCAAAATTTAACTTTGTTTGATTTCATCAAAAATTGAATTATTGGGGTTCTTTGATATGCCAAATCTAACCGTGTATTTAGATTCTTAATTTTTGGTTCCGTTTTCAAATTGGTCTACATTAAGGTCCAAAGGGTCCAAAATTAAACTTAGTTTGATTTTAACAAAAATTGAATTTTTAGGGTTCTTTGATATGCTGAATCTAAACATGTATTTAGATTTTTGATTATGGGCCCAGTTTTCAAGTTGGTCCAAATCGGGGTCCAAAATTAAACTTTGTTTGATTTCAACAAAAATTGAATATATGGGGTTCTTTGATATGCTGAATCTAACCATGTATTTAGATTTTTGATTTTTGGGCCCCGTTATCAACTTTGTCCACATTGAGGTCAAAAGGGTCTAAAATAAAACTTTGTTTGATTTCATCAAAAATTGAATTCTTGGCGTTCTTTGATATGCTGAATCTAACCATGTATTTAGATTTTGAATATTGGACGATAATAGGTGAATGTCCAATTTAAAATTTAAAATGCTGTGTCAAATATTTAATCACAATCCAAATTCAGAGCTGTATCAAGCTTGAATGTTGTGTCCATACTTGCCCCAACTGTTCAGGGTTCGACCTCTGCGGTCGTATCAAGCTGCGCCCTGCGGAGCATTTTATTTATCATGAAACGGTTGATTTTCTATATCTGTAACTTATTATTCTGGATCCATTTTAAAATTTTAGTGTAACATAGAGTAATTAAAATTTTCAGAAATTGTGTAGTTTAAGCTACTAGTTGATACAATGAATATTAAGTCAGAAATACAGAAAAGTGTGATTTAATTTAATGAAAGGGTGATAGTTATATTTATCATACCTTACATTAATATATAGTAATTATTATACGCCCGTTTACGGGACGTATTATGGTATACTGTTGTACGTCCGTCTGTCCGTCCGTCCGTCGTCAACATGTCGGACATTAACTCAAAAACGCTTTAACCAATTTGCTTAAAACTTTGGTGAATTGTTTATATCTATTGACATGAGCTCCCTTTCGTTTTTTATAAATTTTAGATTTTACGTTTCCGAGTTATGGGGTTTTATTCATTAAAAAAAGGTGGATTTTCCAGTTTTCCGACAATAACTTGAGAATGCTTTCACCAACTTGCAAGAAATTTTGGTTAATTGTTTATATCTATTGACATGAGCTCCCTTTGGATTTTTATAAATTTTAGATTTTACGTTTCCGAGTTATGGGGTTTTATTTATAAAAAAAAGGGGGATTTTCCAGTTTTGGGACAATAACTCAAAAATGCTTTCAGCAGTTCTCATGAAACTTTGATGAAACGTTGATATCTATTGATGTAAGCTCCCTTTAGAATTTTATGAATTTTAGATTTTACATTTCTGAATTATGGGGTTTATTCATTAAAAAAGGGGGGATTTTCCAGTTTTCAGACAAAAACTCAAAAATGCTTTCAGCAATTGGTATGAAACTTTGGTGAACTGTTTATATCTATTGATGTAAGCTCCCTTTAGAATTTTATAAATTTTATTTGTTTATAGTCTGACAACAGATTTACTAAGTATTGCGCAACAGCACAGTGTATTGCACAACAGCAAGAAATCCTTAATTGAATATAAATTCAATTCATCTAACCAACTTCAAGTTCTTTGACTACATTTATTCAGAAACCTATGATAGATGTATGTCAAATATTTAATTACAATCCAAATTCAGACCTGTATCAAGCTTGAATATTGTGTCCATTTTTGCCCCAACTGTTCAGGGTTAGACCTCTGCGGGCGTATCCAGCTGCGCTCAGCGAAGCAGTTTATTTGATTGGTTATACGGAATCACGTGTCATAGTTTAATTTCAATGTTTTTCCCAAAATTGGTAGGAGCGGTGAATAACCCCAACAAATTGAAGCCTCCATCGAACAACCCTATTATACCCCGGTGAATAACCTTTTCAGCCCTTTGGTTTTTGCATTAATTATCTCCCATAAAAAATGACGTCATTGACGCCTGTAAATAGAATGGCAACGACCAGGTAAGAAGCCCATCAAGTAACAAGATCAAAAAAGGTTTGGAAAATTATCTAGTTCTGAGGATATCTCTCGTTAACGGTCCTTTTTCAGGGCCATCAATATTTTACAGAAAGAGTCTACCTTTGTTGTACATACTAGAAATTCATAGACCCAAAATAATTTTCTAATGTAAGCGTTTTGACAATCTTTTTTTTCTCCTGTAGGGCAATATTTTACACTTAATTGTTTGGTAAAATAAAACAGTTTTGGCCTTTTGAGTCGGTGAATATCCAAAATTGTTGACAATTTAGGATATTCACCTCCTCTTACTCGTATAATAATGATTTAGTAGGACCACCTGTAGCAGGTCTGGCAGGAAATCTGGGTCAAACAGCTGGATTTGGTTCTACAGGATTATTTGGTGGAGGATCAACACAGCCAGGTATGACACAAATTTTGGATGCAAGATGTATAACTTCTTACTCCTCAACTTAGTTTATTAATGCTTATGCTTCGATCTGTCATTTTGTGAATTCTACATTTATATTACAAATTACTGTATAGAGATTTATTTTCACCAGGCTTAAAATTATTTATTTCTAGGGCCAAATCTGTTTGCAAGATTTTATACTTAAAATTTTTCTTTTCCCTGATTCTAATCCTCTTAAAAGTGAAATTATCACAGGGGATATTTTCAATATTTTATCTTGATTGGGATTGAAAGCTCTGATGAAAATTTCCCATTTGACAGTATTACTTTATAGTTTTTACCTAGTATGCAGATACCTTATGTGACGAAGTTTCCTTCTGTCATAAGTCAACTGTCCTTGACCTCATTTTCATGGTTCAGCGACTGCTTGAAATTAAATATTTGTTTTTTTGTCATGTGAATTTCTCACTTATTATGAGTAATAAGATAACTATATCTGGTATATGGCTTCCTTGCAATGTCTACATGTCCCTCAGACAGGCTTAACCTGACCTCAGCCTCATTTCATGGATCAGTGATCAAGGTTAAAGTTATGTCATTAGGTCAGTTTCTCAGATAGTATAAGCATTAGTCAACTATATATGGCGAATGGGATGATTGTAAGGGTACATGTCAGTCTGGCAGGTTTCATCTTACCTTGACCTCATTTTCATGGTTCATTGGTCAGAGTTCATCTGACCTTGACCTCATTTTCATGGTTCATTGGTCAATGTTAAGTTTTTCTGTTTTGGTCTGATTTTCAAGTACTGTAAGCAAAAGGTCAACTATATTTGGTGTATGGAATAATAGTAAGGGGTACATGTCTGTCTGACAGGGTTTATCTGACCTTGACCTCATTGTCATGGATATTTAAAAATGTTAAGTTTATGTGATACTTGTAGTAAAACCTTCATCTTTAAGACTTTCAACATAAAATCAATGGTCAGTAAAGCAGGTGAGACATTTCATTGTGTGAACTATTTTTTGTGTAGTCTGTGACAAACGTGACTGGTAAAAGAGATTACTGTTATTGTTTTTAACAACATCAACTGCTCAATCTCCAACATCTAATCAGTGCCCCAGCAACTAACTTGAAATGTGCATGGTATTTTTTTGTTAGTGCACAGGACACATTGTTTTCGGAATGTGTCAATTATGACTGATATTTTATTCATTTCTTTAATCAAAGTGACTCATTTCAGTCCATTAAGTTATATTGGCCAGCAATATCCTGACTGGTAAAGGGATAAACTCCAAATTTGATATTTATTGAAAAGTGTTTCATCTTCACTTTAAATATCCACATGTGTTACGTCATGCAAAAGGTCTTGTGATCTGTAGACATTTAAATCATCATATGATAAAAGAAATTTTTGTCTTTTGATGATATCACAATTTTACAATTTTTCTTTCAGCTTTTGGAGCCACAACGGCAACACAGCCAGGGATAGGAGGTAAACAAAATGGATTGCAAATGTTTCTAGTATATTTATTTTACCCATGTAATAATTTAGTAGACCATATATTGCAAGTTAAAATGGTTTGTTTGGTATTTTTATACGCCCGTTTACGGTATACCGTTGTCCATCTGTCTGTTCATATTCTGAAATTTCAACATACACAACAAAACAAAAATATTTATTTCTATTATCAAAACTATCGTGGAATGTATACTGCTATGTACTTGCCAAAACTTGAATAATAATTACGAAAAAAGATTCTTGTGTAGAATTCCAACAAGGAATATTTGACATTATTGTTGTAATTAAAACCATTTTTTAACATCTAAATGATTTAATTTTATAACATCTAAATGATTGTCAGAAATGACATGTCTACTATGTATGTTGGACAGATAATAGAGATTTTGAAGGCTTGTGGCAGAAACATCTTAAAAAATGGTTTAATGACTACTAAAAATTAAAACAAAAAATAATTTGAAAATTCCTTCAGTTTTGCAATGAATGATGTATTATGGTGTCAGTTTTATACTGAATATAAAATAGTGTCAGAAAGCATTTACTGAAGTCTTTGTATTGGACGTTAAAACAACAACTACCAGAACAGGGAATGATTGGTTCAAATCAACGACAGGGATCAAATTTGCTAGTCGTCCAGGTATGTACAGCTACTTATTCAGAACAAGTTATATCCCTTTGTATAAGTGTAAAGTTATAAAACTTTCAAACTAATAGATACGTAACATATGTAAGTAAGATTTACATGTGAAAGTGAGATTTACATATGTAAGTGAGATTTACATGTGAAAGTGAGATTTACGTAAGTGATATTTACATAGTACATATTTATCATCATTTTGGTAATTTGGTTTAATTGTGAGTAAAAAGTATTCAATAATTGAAAGCTCCTTTTTATACGACCGCAAAAAATTTTTGCGGTCGTATATTGGTATGACGTTGGCGTCGTTGTCTGGCGTCGTCCGAAAACATTGGTTTTCGCACTCTAACTTTAGTTTAAGTGAATGGATCTCTATGAAATTTTACCAAAAGGTTCAATACCACAAAAGGAAGGTTGGGATTGATTTTGGGGGTTATGGTACCAACAGTTAAGGAATTAGGGGCCAAAAATAAGCATTTTTGTAACTTCCAGACATAACTTGTATGTTAGTGTATGGATCTCTCTGACATTGTACCACAAGGTTCCATATCACAAAGGGAATGGTGGGATTGATTTTGGGGGTAATTGCTTCCAAATTTTAGGAATAAGGGGCTAAAAAGGGGCAAAATACAAGCATATTTCTAGTTTCATGACAATAACTTGTGTGTAAGTGTATGGATCTCTCTGACATTGTACCACAAGGTTCCATATCACAAAGGGAATGCTGGGATTGATTTTGGGGGTAATTGCCTCCAAATTTTAGGAATTAGGTGCCAAAAAGGGGCAAAAAACAATCATTTTCCTAGTTTCATGACAATAACTTGTAAGTGTATTGATCTTTATGAAATTGTACTACAAGGTTCCATATCACAAAGGGAAAGCTGGAATTGAGTTTGGGGGTAATTGCCCAAAACATTTAGAAATAAGGGGCCAAAAATAAGCATTTTTCTAGTTTCCAGACAATAACTTGTGTTCAAGTGTATGGATCTCTCTGAAATTGTACTGCAAGGTACCATACCACAAAAGGAAGGCTGGGATTGATTTTGGGGGTAATTGCCTCAAAATTTTAGGAATTAGGGGCAATAAAGGGGCAAAAAAACCAAGCATTTTTCTAGTTTCAGGGCAATAACTTGTGTGTAAGTGTATGGATCTTTATGAAATTGTACTACAAGGTTCCATATCACAAAGGGAAAGCTGGGTTAGAGTTTTGGGGTAATTGCCCTAAACGTTTAGGAATTTGGGGCCAAAAAACAAGCATTTTTCTAATTTCCAGACAATAACGTGTTCAAGTGTATGGATCTCTCTGAAATTGTACTGCAAGGTACCATACCACAAAGGGAAGACTGGGATTGAGTTTGGGGGTGATGAATCATAAGGGGGTTCAACAAATTTGGGGGGGGAGGATTTTTTTTTCCTTTTTTTTCTTTAAAATTTTCCATTTTAAAATGGTTATTTCTGATTGATATATAAAAGCAAATAATAATGATATGGTTTAAATAGGTAAATTTAAAATTTTTAAGTTCTTAGACCACATTCGTTCTGTGTCAGAAACCTATGCTGTGTCAAATCTTTAATTACAATCCAAATTCAGTGCTGTATCAAGCTTGAATGTTGTGTCCATACTTGCCCCAACTGTTCAGGGTTCGACCTCTGTGGTCGTATCAAGCTGCGCCCCAGCGGAGCATTTTATTCTCATTTTTGAAGGCCGTACAGTTGCCTATAATTGCTTACATCAACTTCATTTGAACTTTGGTGGATAGTTGTCTCATTGGCAATCATACAACATCTTCTTATTTTTATAGCAAGATTTTCTAATATTTTTATCAATTCTAGAGTGTTGTGTCGGTTTGACACAATTTAGTTGTGAAATGATTGTTTATTGGTGACATTTGTGGTTTTAATATATTGAATATTTGCATAATTCTGTTATTGTTTATCATTGATGTTCATGTTTTTGCCATATTGAGTATTATATTTATATATTATTGTTTTATTGGTAATGATTTTAGTTAATTTCATATTTATTTTTATACCATTCTGTTATTGTTTATTAGTGAGATTCATGATTTTCTTATTCAGTATTATAGCATTATGTTATTATTGATAATTGAGGTTCTTCGTTTACTTGTTTATTAGCGAGGTTCATTTTGTGCCATATTGTGTATTATTATATGCTCCTATTAAACTGGAGGTATACTGTTTTCTGTTTGCTCCTTAGTCTATCAACAGGTCATACAAATGCAAGAGAAATTTTGGTCAAATTTCATGAAACTTGTAGGGAATATTGTAAACTTTAGGCTGTTTGTGGAATTAGAAGTAAGCTCTTGTTTGATTTAAAAAAAAATCTGGTTTGTCATTTCACATTTAAGGGACTTTGAATGTCAGATTTAAGACAATTTTACACAACTTGAGTAAGCTGGGGTCTATTTACCAATTGTTGGGAAATGTAAAAGTAAGCAACCTTTTGATTTGAAGAACTTTTCTATTTGTCATTCCAGGGTTGGACTTTAAATGTCAAAATGAAGGCAAATTTTTACATGTCCCACTCTAGCTTGAGTATGCTTTAGATCAATATACTTGAAACTAAATTTTTGTTTAGATTGGTGAAAGTAAGCTCCCTAGTTGGATATTAAAAATGTTCTCATATGTCATTGCAGAGTTATGGGACTTTAACTGTTAAATTTAAGGCAATTTTTATATGCCTAAGGATAGCCTGCCACAAGTTTTTCTGCAGTTTACTGACTTCTCATTTAATGCCTTCTTTGATATTCCATTTTATTATTGCAATGATATATATCAACATGCATATGACAGGCATATTTTGTGTTCCTGGTTTGGCTGTCTATTTCATTTATTTAGTTATTGTTAATTGAACAGCTTCGTGTTTTACTTGCTTGTATATTTAGAATTATGTAATTATGTTATTGTTTGTAGGTGACATTCAAGATTTTATTTTATTGAGTCATATATAATTCTGTAATTGCTTGTTGGTGAGGGTCATGGTTTTGTCATAGTGGATTCCATGTCAATTTTTATACGACTGCAAACAAATTTTTGGATGGGATTGATTTTGGGGGTAATTGCCTCAAAATTTTAGGAATTAGGGGCAAAAAAAGGGGCAAAAAACAAGCATTTTTCTAGTTTCATGACAATAACTTGTGTGTAAGTGTACGGATCTTTCTGAAATTGTACTACAAGGTTCCATATCACAAAGGGAAAGCTGGAATTGAGTTTGGGGGTAATTGCCCAAAACGTTTAGGAATAATGGACCAAAAAGGGGCCAAAAATAAGCATTTTTCTAGTTTCCAGACAATAACTTGTGTTCAAGTGTATGGATCTCTCTGAAATTGTATTGCAAGGTACCATACCACAAAGGGAAGGCTGGGATTGAGTTTGGAGGTGATGAATCATAAGGGGGTTCAAAAAATTTGGGGGAGTGATTTTTTTTTCCTTTTTTTCCTTTTTTTTTTCTTTAAAATTTTCCATTTTAAATTGGTTATTTCTTATTTATATATATAAAAGCAAATAATAATGATATGGTTTGAATCGGTAAATTAAAATTTTTTATGTTCTTAGACCACATTCATTCTGTGTCAGAAACCTATGCTGTGTCAAATATTTAATCACAATCCAAATTCAGTGCTGTATCAAGCTTGAATGTTGTGTCCATACTTGCCCCAACTGTTCAGGGTTCGACCTCTGCGGTCGTATCAAGCTGCGCCTTGCGGAGCATTTTATCTAGTGTTGAATTTACCTTTTTTTTTTTTATTCTTTCTCATTTTTAGGACTACCGGTATGTAATAAACTTTTTACATGTGTAATATATAAATATATATTGTTAATATTTGATAATAGTTTTTTTTAGAAATAGAAAACAATATTAAAAAAAAATACATATCTTATTTACATGTTTATAACATTGTTTTTCTGAATCAAGAACTCTATTATTTTTGTTACATAATATATATTTTGGTTATAGAAATTGTATGTTGATATGTCATGTTTTGCAGATAATTATATTTTGATAATAAAATGGTTTTTGATTTATTAATTATTCTTAGAACTAGAAACTTGTAACATTTATCGTTTACCAGCATACATTTCATTAAGGTACCTAACAGACATGAAATGAATCTGATGTTCAGTAGTTGTCGTTTGTTGATGTGGTTCATAAGTGTTTCTCGTTTCTCGTTTTTTATATAGATTAGACCGTTGGTTTTCCCATTTGAATGGTTTTACACTAGTAATTTTTTGGGGCCCTTTATAGCTTACTGTTTGGTGTGAGCCAAGGCTCTGTGTTGAAGACCGTACTGTGACCTATAATGGTTTACTTTTATAAATTTTTACTTGGATGGAGAGTTGTCTCATTGGCACTCATACCACATCTTCTTATATCTATGAAGATAACATTGAATGACCATTTTATATCATAAGTAACCAATTAATAAATAGATTTTGGGGTCTTAAAAGTACTTAAACTGCTGTTGTGCACAAATAGGTCTTTATACATTTATAACATCATGTGAGAGTCAGTTGTAACTAAAGACTGTTAGGTTAAGGTATCAATAAGTATGGTTTAGTCTTTTTAAAGAGGCCACAGTACCATTGTTGCATTGTGAACTTGGAAGACAGACTGATTAAATCAATCAATTTGATTCGATCATAATCTTTAGTTTTATATGTTTATTTTTGAAGTAATGGATTAATCACTTGCAATTATTGAGCAATCATAATTGGAAAAATGAGATGTCTGTTTTAATAGATGCCTGTTAAGTGCCAATCTGCCTAAAAATCAGGCAGTGGTGAAAACATGACAAACAAAAACCCACTCAAGTTGACATTAACTTATGTTCAAATTATATAATGGTGCACGAATATAACATTTTTTTCCTTTTTCTGTTCTGGTAATTCAAAATATAATTTGGTTGAAATGCACTAGAAATTGAAAATTAAGTGGAGCTAACTCTGTAATTTGCTATCATTGTAACCAAAAGTTATCTAGAGATTTCTCTAATTACCAGACACGCAGAAACAAAAGACCTACCATTTCTAACTCAGGATGAGGGTATCTTCAAAATAGGATGATTAGGTCGGTAGGTTTTTTTTGGTCAAGTTTTTGATTTTTTTTCTAAATTGCCTGATTCTTACAAAGACTGGCACTTAAGGAGGCTCAAGGGTACAAAAATTTCAGCAACATTTTAAACATTTTTTTTTTCATTACAAATTTTATTTATTACACTATTAGTTGTTACTTTATGATATGGTACAAACATGAACCCAAAAAATCTATTAGTTTTGGCCCCAGATGACTTTTAAAATGTTTATATCATTGAAAAAGCTCCAAATTATCTCCCTTTGGTGCAAAAATGCATTTTTTTTGCATTAAAATTGAAATATCTTTTTTAACTCATTGGTGACCTATATTTTTTATTATTGTTTTCAAATAAGCTGTACTTAAACTAAACAATTGTAAAATTTAAGCGATTTCTGTTATTTAGTTCTTTTTTTATTTCGATATTACCTCTTTTTCTCCTATTAGTTCAACAGAAAAAAAGTACCTTAACAAAAATGCATGCTTCTTTCGAAGGCAGATTGTGAGCTTAAATGAATGGTGACCCCATTTTTTTATTTCATTTTCTATTGAGTATATGATAAATAAAATTGAGAATGGAAATGGGGAATGTGTCAAAGAGACAACAACCCGACCATAGAGCAGACAAAAGTTCATTTATAGAAAATAATAGCGAAATCCTATATTTAAAAAAAAAAATGGATTTATACCCTCGAGCCCCCTTAAGAAAGATATATCTACTTTATGAAGTCTAGCATTATCTGATTACTTAGATAGATAGTAGATATGATAGAAACCAATACAATAAATACATTTAGATGTAAACAGTTCAAAATGCATGTCAAAAGAACGGTATGACCTAAATTTGTTGGTTGAATGGTCACAATTTAGGTGTTGAAATTTAAGTTTAATGGGTTGGTTTTAGGAAGTTTGAAGTAAAGTAGATGATATATTTTAACATGAATTAAAAGGGATTGTTCAATCTAAATATAGGTTCAGCATTTTTACGTGCGACAAAAAAGATTGTACCTCAGATTTACTAACAGTTGTATATAATTTTTTGAATTGTGCTAATACAAAGTTTGCTACTACTTTGAAACATTAGTGGGAAAATAAACATATTGGTGAGTTGTTGTTTTCATGATTTCAATTACTCAACTTTTCACAGTGGGGTTAAATTTGCACTTCAACGATAAGTCGGTAAGTTGAAACTTCTCATCAATCTTATTGCTTTGTAGAAAGCATTGAAGTGGGAGATATTTTGTGTAATTTATGTGAAAATTTCAACATTTACAGTTTAATTATGTCAAAGTGTCCATATAATTTTTAAGATAATATTTCTTATAGAATTGCATAGCTGAAAATTTTTATTTTTATTTTTTAGGTTTTGGTGGATTTGGCAGCACTACTACACAACCTGCTGGATTTAAAGGTAAACATTTTGTTTGATGGGTTTTAATCCATTTTCTTACAGTGGACTTCTTCAGAAATTCAGCTTCCATCCTTGTCAATTACATTTTGCAGTCTCAGCAACAACAAAAATAATGTTTAGACCAATCAGAATGTCCAAAACAGGGGCCTTCCCACAATGCAACATAATTTTTAATTGGTTTATTACACAATTTCATTTGGGTGATTTTTTTTTTTAAGTGTAGATTTATGAATAGCCTATGATCCACCAGTTTATAAATGGTCATTACAATATCATTACAGATCGATTGCAAATATCAATTTTTGTCAAAAGACAGGAATATTTGCTGTTGTTGTCTACGGGACTGAACATGACCAATGATTCCTTGAAAAATAACAATTTCATGTGTGATTTATGTCACTTTTATAAATAATAATTTATTACATGAGAAAAAATACCAACTTTGATTGGTATGGATCAATATTTGGAAAGAGTACTAATAGTTCTGTACAGATAAAAAATGTCGCTACATTGACAACAACACTTAAGTAAACTATATCTTTTATTGTCGACGTTTCGCCGATTAGATCGGCGTCATCAGGACAAAATATACAAAATTAGAACCCCTGAAGTACAAAAAACTGGCATCTTGTATATGACGTCATAATTGTCCATTGTTGATGTTGCTATAGGATACTCTATATCATTATGTAATGTTGAACAGAAAATGAATCAAACATAGTACAATACAAATGGAGTTACTAAATTCAGAGTTAATCTATAATTGTTCTAATTGTCTTTATCTTAAAAATGGTTGTAAACTATTCTAATGGTAAGTGTATTTATAAATAAAATGTGTTTTTAAATAAAATTATTGTTTAACATGAATGTAAGTACAATGTCAGTGTACAGTTTGTATAAAGTTTCTTCCTAATTTGGAAAATGTGTAACTCTGATCTTTTATAAAAGTAACACCACAAACAATAAATCAACCATTCTTAAAATACATATCCCTTATAAGAAATATCTGGTGAGGTATTTATTTTTTTCTAGGTTTTGGCAGTGGATTTGGAACAACAACCACCACCCAGTCAACAGGTTTTGGGGCTGGGTTTGGTGCAACAGGAGGGACAGCCACTGTTCGACCATTAGGTTAGTGGTAAGCACTGCCCAATTACAGGTACACAGAGTTCACCATTTACCATTAGGGTTTGTGGTTTTAAAGCATGGCCCAAATTTGGGAACATAGGTATCTGTGTGCATGTCCCAATTACCAAGAAAAACTCAATTTTTTAATACTGTGAGATACATTCTAGTTTCATTTGTTGTAAATAACTTTCTTTTTGTGTACTGTTGACTTTGGTCAAGTTTTATATTCTTTTTTTATTACGTGCCATCATTAAAACTATTCAAGGGACTAGTATTATCCTAATTTTAAATATATGGCTATTTGTTGCATAATAATTTCTAGTTCTTTTTTAACAACAAGAAAAAATACAAAGTTATAAATAATTGACAATAATTGGTTGTTTTTCAGGATTTGGAACAGCAACAACAGCTGCATCAGGTTTTGGAGGTCAGAGTACATTTGGTCAAACTGGTACCCTGTTTGGTACAGCCCCTGCTGCTGCACCTGCCTTTGGGGCTAATGGGGAATCACCTTTCCAACTCAACAAGCCCCCTACATCAAAGAAAAAGAGATGATCAATATAAGCAGGCATCTTAATGATGTCTGAATTATGATTTTAAGATGTGACCGAAACATGTAAATTATTTGAGATTACAATTAAAAGTCTATTTTGATATACAAACATTTTGTTTATATTTTTAATCATCTTTTTTAATCATTTTTGATTAATATGATATTTGATTTAAACTTTTATATAGTAATGATAGAGACATTGTTTGACAAAAAAAGATTCTGCCTTTAAGGTTTTTTTCTATTTTGAATTTTATTCAAAATGTAAGAGATATAACAATATGGAGAAGATAAGATTACTAATATAAACAACGAACCCCAAGAGATCAAAAGGACTAGAAATTAAACCTACAATAAAATCATCAATGAACTTGAAAGCAATATTTAAGATAAACTGTAATAGTATGTGGAACGATTGGGAGACAAATACATGACGGCCTTAGTTTAGTCAATAACATAAAACAGGAAGCCAACATCTACCACTGGACTGCAGGTTCTTACCTTGTGACAGGCATTATGAAAATGAAACAGGATTTAATCAGTAGTAAAGGTATCAAATATCTAAAGAGTACATTGTATTAAGAGATGTTAAAAAAATGCAATTTGATTTTTTGACAAACCATTTGATCACAAGTAATAAAGAATTTTAACTTGAAACGAAAGTGATGAGCTAGTGTTAAAAATAAATAAGTTATAAGTCTAGTCTTATTATTTGAAATTGAAAAATATGAAACAGTTGAGAGTCTGTTGCAAAATTTAAATTTTAGTGTTCAAATTATTGAAAGAAAACTAGCCAAAAGGACAAAAATATTAGTTGTTGAACTCTTATTGGATACTGAGATGAACTAATATTGAATGCTTATCTAAGGCATTTTAAAAAACATATATAAGACCATCATTATAATGTTGATATCAGATAGCCACACTGAAAGAAAGAATGAAACAGATGATAAACTGAGATAGCAAACTATTTGTGAAGTATTATTTATTTTGAATATACAGTTATGACTGATGAAGTGTACTTAGTTATGTTTTTGTTACTGTAATTTAAAAATTGTGATTGGGGTGAACATTATTGTAGTTAAAAGTATCATTTAAAATTGTAGTAATGTACTTCTAGAATATGTACTGGAATTGAAGTCGTAAATCTCTCATTATGATCTGTTCTAAAATAGTTGCAATGATAAATGCATGTATTAAATACTGAATTTACAGTGTTTTATAAAAAAAGACACAAAGTTATTATTTTTATACGACCGCAAAAATTAAAAATTTTTTGGTCGTATATTGGTATGACGTCGGCGTCGTCCGAAGACACATTGGTTTTCGCACTCTAACTTTAGTTTAAGTGAATGGATCTCCATGAAATTTTACCATAAGGTTCAATACCACGAAAGGAAGGTTGGGATTGATTTTGGGGGTTATGGTACCAACAGTTAATGAATTAGGGGCCAAAAAGGGGCCAAAAATAAGCATTTTTGTAACTTCCAGACAATAACTTGTGTGTAAGTGCATGGATCTCTCTGACATTGTACCACAAGGTTCCATATCACAAAGGGAAGGCTTTAATTGATTTTGGGGGTAATTGCCTCAAAATGTTAGGAATTAGGGGCCAAAAAAGGGGCAAAAAACAAGCATTTTTCTAGTTTCATGACAATAACTTGTGTGTAAGTGTTTGGATATTTCTGAAATTGTACTACAAGGTTCCATATCACAAAGGGAAAGCTGGAATTGATTTTTTGGGTAATTGCCCGAAACGTTTAGGAATTGGGGGCCAAAAAGGGGCCAAAAATAAGCATTTTTCTAGTTTCCAGACAATAACTTGTGTTCAAGTGTATGGATCTCTCTGAAATTGTACTGCAAGGTACCATACCTTAAAGGGAAGGCTGAGATTGAGTTTTGGGGTGATGAATCATAAGGGGGTTCAAAAAATTTGGGGGGGGTGGATTTTTTTTTTTCTTTTTTTTTTCTTTTTTTCCTTTTTTTTTTCTTTTAAAATTTAAAATTTTAAGTTGGTTATTTCTGATTTATATTTAAAAGCAAATAATAATGATATGGTAGGAGATACACACCAAACAGGATGTGTAAATTATTATATAATAAGTATTGTGCAATAGCAAGAAATTTTCAATTGCACAGTATTGCACAATAGCAAGAAATCTTCAATTGCACAGTATTGCGCAATAGCAAGAAATCTTCAATTGCACAGTATTGCGCAATAGCAAGAAATATCCAATAGCACAATATTGCGCTATAGCAAGAAATTGTCAATTGTACAGTATTGCGCAATAGCAAGAAATAATCAATTGCACAGTATTGTGCAAAAGAAGATACTTGGTATAAATTGCTTATTTCTTGATCAATTTCAATGGGGTTTTATTCTTGAATTCTTGGGGTTCTTTAATATGCTGAATCTAACCGTGTATTAAGTCTTTGGATTTTGGGCCCCGTTTTTAAATTGGTCCACATTGAGGTCCAAAGGGTCCAAAATTTAACTTTGTTTGATTTCATCAAAAATTGAATTATTGGGGTTCTTTGATATGCCGAATCTAACCGTGTATTTAGATTCTTAATTTTTGGTTCTGTTTTCAAATTGGTCTACATAAAGGTCCAAAGGGTCCAAAATTAAACTTAGTTTGATTTAAAAAAAAATTGAATATATGGGGTTCTTTGATATGCTGAATCTAACCATGTATTTAGATTTTTGATTATGGGCCCAGTTTTCAAGTTGGTCCAAATCGGGGTCCAAAATTAAACTTTGTTTGATTTCAACAAAAATTGAATATATGGGGTTCTTTGATATGCTGAATCTAACCATGTATTTTGATTTTTGATTATGGGCCCAGTTTTCAAGTTGGTCCAAATCGGGGTCCAAAATTAAACTTTGTTTGATTTCAACAAAAATTGAATATATGGGGTTCTTTGATATGCTGAATCTAACCATGTATTTAGATTTTTGATTGTTGGGCCCCGTTATCAACTTTGTCCACATTGAGATCTAAAGGGTCCAAAATTAAACTTTGTTTGATTTCATCAAAAATTGAATATATGGGGTTATTTGATATGCTGAATCTAACCATGTATTTAGATTTTTGATTATGGGCCCAGTTTTCAAGTTGGTCCAAATCGGGGTCCAAAATTAAACTTTGTTTGATTTCAACAAAAATTGAATATATGGGGTTCTTTGATATGCTGAATCTAACCATGTATTTAGATTTTTGATTATGGGCCCAGTTTTCAAGTTGGTCCAAATCAGGGTCCAAAATTAAACTTTGTTTGATTTCAACAAAAATTGAATATATGGGGTTCTGTAATATGCTGAATCTAACCGTGTATTAAGTTTTTGGATTTTGGGTCCCGTTTTTAAATTGGTCCACATTGAAGTCCAAAGGGTCCAAAATGTAACTTTGTTTGATTTCATCAAAAATTGAGTTATTGGGGTTCTTTGATATGCCGAATCTAACCGTGTATTTAGATTCTTAATTTTTGGTTCCGTTTTCAAATTGGTCTACATAAAGGTCCAAAGGGTCCAAAATTAAACTTAGTTTGATTTTAACAAAAATTGAATTTTTAGGGTTCTTTGATATGCTGAATCTAAACATGTATTTAGATTTTTGATTATGGGCCCAGTTTTCAAGTTGGTCCAAATCGGGTTCCAAAATTAAATTTTGTTTGATTTCAACAAAAATTGAATATATGGGGTTCTTTGACATGCTGAATCTAACCATGTATTTAGATTTTTGATTTTTGGGCCCTGTTATCATTTTTGTCCACATTGAGATCAAAAGGGTCCAAAATTAAACTTTGTTTGATTTCATCAAAAATTGAATTCTTGGGGTTCTTTGATATGCTGAATCTAACCATGTATTTAGATTTTGGATATTGGACCATAATAGGTGAATGTCCAATTTAAAATTTTAAGTTCTTAGACCACATTCATTCTGTGTCAGAAACCTATGATGTGTCAAATATTTAATCACAATCCAAATTCAGAGCTGTATCAAGCTTGAATGTTGTGTCCATACTTGCCCCAACTGTTCAGGGTTCGACCTCTGCGGTCGTATCAAGCTGCGCCCTGCGGAGCATTTTATTTTATTTGATATAGTTGCAGGGTGGAACAAGAAAATCAACCAAACTTTTTTTGAACATACTGTTATGGAATACTGTAAACCAGCTAATTTTCAAGAGTGATTAGTTTACACGACTTTCACAAGTAGAAAAATAAGGCACATATAAATCATCATTATTATGTCAAACTTTGATCTCACATTATATGAATGCATCACAGTTATCAAGTCACAAAAATAAATTGCTAGAAAGGATTTAAAGATATAAAAAAAAAGGTACTGTGGATTCATTATTTTCCGTGGGATACCAATTTTCGTGGATTTGGGATTAAAGATGAAACATAAATTTATATATGTTCAATGAAGTTTCTGTAGGCATATATGCAGACTTTAGCGAAACCAAAGAATCAAATATCCTCGAAATATATATATTTTTCTTCAATCCATGAAAATTGGTATCCATGAAAATAAATGAATCCACTGTATCTGGAAAAAAAAATTGTTTACAGTAGTTCAAATTATTCTTATTCAAACATGCACAGGAATTAAATATACGTCGGGATATTTCAGTCATCAGAGATTCACAAATTTAAATTCAGGCACAAGTGTGAATTTAGATTTAATATGTAAACTTAAGTGTCATTCCATTATGTATATATAAGTCATTTAACATGCATATTGTATTTTAAAGATTATTAAATAGACAATGTAAATGGTTGTTGTTAAATGGCTAAGTAGATATATATATCATTGGAGTTGTCATCTGTAATTATTGTTTATGATCTCACATATACATTTTCAAGTATGACAAATATTTGTTTGATTATTCAGAAAAATCAGTTATTCTTAATTATGTGAATATGAAATGTTATAGTTCTATCCAGAAATTTGGTTTCACTATAGAAATGTCATTGTATCAGATTTTATTGATTAAAGGAGACATGATTTACAAGGATGTTGAAACTGTGTAACATAACACACCAGGAAGGTATTTGGTCCGTTTGTACAATCAATAGCAAAAATTATGACATAGGCAGTAGTAATAATGTTTTAGATATTTCTGTTAAGAACCTCAAGTTTCCTGATATGAATAATATGTAATAAAATTTTATGATAATGAGTGCTTATTATCCCCAAGCACAACGCGTTGTGGGGGACATAGAAATACTGGGTGTCTGTCTGTGTGTCCATCCGTCTGGTCTTGTTAGCACTCTCACTTGTTCAATTCTTGCCAGATTTTTATGAACTTGTATCATAGTTTATATCAGCAATGTCTTGGACGAGTTCGAAAATCAGTGCCGATCAATTTTTTTATTTTGTATTTTAAAGAGTTATGCCCCTTGGAAATATTAATTATATAGAAAATTGCCTAAAGAATGCTCTAATGTGTACAATTCTGGCCAGATTTTTATGAAAATTTATATATAATAGGTTTATATCATCAATGTCTTTGAGGATTTCAAAAATCAGTGCCGATCAATAATTTTTAAAAGAGTTGTGCCCCTTGGAAATATTGATTTATATGGAAAATTGCATTGTTAGTGCTCTCATGTGTCAATTCTTGCCAGAATTTTATGAAACTTATATCAAAGGTTTATATCATCAATGTCTTGGACAATTTCGAAAACAATTTTGTTAATGGAAACAAGTTCTCTGGGTATGCAGCTTATAGCACACGCATATCAGTAAAATTTTACGGAGATGAATTTCTGGATTATATAAATCTAACGTTCTGGAAATTTCCTCAGGTGTCCCACACAAAGCAAAGGTGTAAAGTTCAGAATTTTGCAACAAAAACATCAGTTCACCGATACAGGCCTAATTTATATGTATGATTATGTGTTTCGTGTCAACCCGTATAACAAATTAAGTTTTCAAATAAAACAAATGTTGAACCATGTACAAAAATCCGAGATTAATTATTGCAATTTCAGGAAATGCTGCATACAAATTATGCTATCAAAATGTAATATGCGAGAATTTTCACAATAATAAAAACATTGCAAAAGTCTCTGTATTTACAGTACGTCAAATGGAATAATTAATTCTATAACAGTATATCAGTTTATAATTGAGCCTTTTTTAAATCAATAGTCTTTAAAATTCTGGCATAATTTACAGTCCTTTATGGGGTACATTAAGACAAGACAACATTTATGCTTCCTCAAGGTAGAAAACTCTAAGTAGCCACTGAATTTTTAATTGACACATGTCTTTTTACAAGGCATCTCACTTTTAAAACTTTCTAGTAAGGTTCTATCATTTGAAATTTTCTAGACAAAATACATGAACAACTTTTGAACTGTTGAAGACTATGTTGAGGTCTAATTTTCTTTTTGTCTCATTGTTGTATAATCTCATTCTATTTATATAAAATATACTCACAATATAACAAATGAACATGAGATACTGTAATATCTTTGAATCAACACAGCTGACAACTTTAAATCGGGTGAAAGTGCGGTGGATTAAACTGAATACTGTTGACTTTAATATTCTATATTTTGAAATGCCAAAATGTATTACCATTATTAGTAAAATCTGAATATATTTATGAACTCTGACCTTATTTAAGTTGTTCATTACTATGACTACCTGACCTGATGTAGTACATCATCCCGGTCATTACTGTTTTGTTTATTGTCTTGTTTGGAATAAAATTTGAATCTTCACAACTTCTTGTGTTTTTTTGTATTGCTCAACCTTTGTTGGTGACCTGTTTTACTTTGTCTGATTAGGTTTACAGTTTCATGTGACAAACAAAACAACACAAATTGAACACACAGATAAACATATTGGCATTGTTTTAGATAATAAGCTAACACTGAAGAAAATGGGCTTTACACATAAATTCAGAAATTATTTCTAGGTTTTCATTATT